ATACCGCACACCCTCGATGCATCAGAAGACTGATCCAAGTGGTCACCCACCCGCACACTGACAGCAGCCAGTGATGCTTGACTTCGGTGATCTGATGGGAACCATGTCTTAACGATCTGTCCACTGCGGGACGTGAGCAGCATACGATAAGTTTTGTAAGATATGTGAAATTATGGTAAGTCTCAATTTCTGTGTTTTCATAGTCTACGATATAAAAGAACTGTAATAGAAGTCATTAAATTTAGCTCCAATAAAACCAAATGTCGTTCTATAAACTTAAATTTAAATATTAATTCCAATCATAAATTAATAAAAGTACTTACATTTCGCTTCGTTAAAATTGTTTTGCGTCCGAAGTAAATCATTAAATGCTTTTTTTTCTTTTTTTTTTTTTTTAATTTCATTCCTAAGAAAATGATTTTTCTGCAATTATATTGTTAAAATACATATAGGGTGTCTTAAATTTATTAATGAAAAATAGCCTTTCTAAAGCTAAAAAAAAATTAAAAAAAAAAAAATTGAAAATTTTTGATATTCCACTTCTAGCCCTCCCCCCTTGTAGCACCACCTCTGTGTCTTAACAATCTATTATTAATAAAACTACCAAATAATATTTTAAACATGCTATATCGGAACAGCCTGCTATTTTTATCACTGGCTAGTATTTTGTTGTTGTAGTTGTAACTAATTTACGTCGCACTAGAGCTGCACTATGGGCTATTGGCGACGGTCTGGGAAACACCCCTTAGGATGATCCGAAGACATAATTTTGATCCTCTGCGGAGGGGATGTCTCCCCCGCTTCGGTAGCCCGACGACCTGCACGCGAAGTCGAGCACTTTACGGTAGAACAGTTTAATGAGGACCCATACCGCACACCCTCGGTCCCTACGCAGACTGATCCGAATGGTCACCCACCCGCACACTGACCGTAGCCAGTGATGCTTTACTTCGATGATCTGTTGGGTACCGTGTCTTAACGATCAGTCCACTGCGGGACCGCTAGTATTTCGGAAGAGATGGTATTTTGTCACAGGCAAGTATTTCGGAACAGGCAATATTTTGTCACAGGCTAGTATTTTGGAACAGGCGATATTTTGTCACAGCCTAGAAATTTGGAACAGGCGATATTTTGTCACAGCCTAGCATTTTGGAACAGATGGTACTTTGTCACAGGCTAGCATTTTGAAACAGATGGTATTTTGGCACAGGAGAAATAGGTTAGTATTTATGAATAGGTTAGTATTTTGTATCGTAACAACTGTAACCTGTTACCTGAAAATACCTGTTATTGTCCATCACTAGTGTTTCTAACTGTATTTGTAACGTGTAGCACATGTGCCGTATTGTTATTGTTTACACTTTTTAACAATTAAAATAAAGTTTATATACTATTTTTATATCTAAATTTCACTCAGATTTATGTTAAAATGAAGTTTGCATACAAAGTAATATTTTTAAAATTATTCTATGACTTTAAATTGTATATTCTCCTTTTTTTTAAAATTACTTCTAAATGAAATTTCTAAAAATTTCACTACGATTAAAATTTTTGGATTTAAATTTTCCTGAAATACATTAAAATTCTCCTAAGCTTTCAGAATTTTTTTAAATTAATTAAAAATATTTTGCTGGAGAAAGATAATTGCTGTAATAGAGAAATTCCTATTTACTATATACATGATGAACTACATGTGTATACATTTTTTTTCTGTTATAGAAAGATCTCTGTCTAGTAATGTTAAATTAAAATATTTTTGGTTTGTTTTATGAAAATAAATTAATTTAACTTATTTGGTTATTAAAACCATTTGTTTAGTGGGAAAATGGTAGGAATTTTCAAAATATTAATCACTGTAATGAACTGTCCATAAATTCTGTGTTTATTAATTAACCAAATTTATATTTTATGACGTTATAACTGCAGATAACCTAAATGAGAAATGAAAGAGCACAGTATTGAAAGAGCACATGTTGCACAGTATTAATCCATGATGTGTTATATTTATACACATAATGCACTAATAAAATGCTCTCTTTGGTTTGCTTGTCTTCTTTACCTCACTGACCTTTACTTTTACCCTTATTAAATTAAACAACGGCACCCTTGATTGTTCGTATTTTTCTGAAATGATCAGCAGAAGGTTTCATACATCAACGGTGGGAGACCGTACCGTCAGCATTCAAAATTTAATATAGCTGGAGCATAAGTATGCATAACTCGACGTAATAGAAAATTAAAATGCATAATAGATTTAAAATATATTGTAATCATATGGTTTTATAAAAATTTTGCATTCGAAATTATAATGAATTATATATTTTGTTACATAAAAAATGAATATTTTGAAAAGATAACTCTGTCTCTATCCCATTCTTAATTATTTGCTTTCTCTTGAATGTATATTATCATGAATTTTTTTCTTATAGTTTTCCAATCTTGTGGGTACTGTTTATCACAAAGGAAATTTGATATTTACTCCTGATGGAACAATTTTAATAAGTCCTGTAGGAAACAGAATCACCCTATATGATTTGAAAAAGTAAGCATATTTTTTAAATATTTCAATATTGGAACTTCTACTATAATTGCCAAAATGCATAAGGGATTTTAAATTTTTCTTTTCTAAAATTTATATACAGTGGAAACCCGATTTTACGTTGTCCGTTTCGTACGTTATCCCGTTTCTTGCGTCATTTTCTGCTGATCCGGGAAAATTGCCTATACCGATAATGTTAGAAAATCCCGGATTTTGCGTTACCCATTTTATGAAAATCCCGCTTGATGCGTTTTTCTACCAACAGATCAAATTAATTTTTTTTTATTCTACATCTCTCACACAAACTTTTTTCTAGTTTTTTGAGCAAGAAAAACTTGCTTTTCAGCTGCATGGAGCAATTCTTGCATTCTTTCTGCTCCATTTGTCAATAGGGGGGTGGGTAACAACAATAAAAACTACAAAGCATAAAAACTCTAAAACAATTTTTACTTGCAAATGTAAATTTGCAAAAAATTGTTAGATGAAATTGTAGCTAAAAACAAAGAGGAAGTGAAGAATACTAATCTTTTCCATTAATTTAACTGGTAGGTGTCAATTTTTAAAAATATGCATAGATTTTTCGTAATCCCGATTTTACGTCATTCCGCTTCGAGCATTTTTTATCGCTAGTCCGACCTAAAACGTAAAATCGGGGTTTCACTGTATATACAGGGGTGTGTCCAGGCCGAATTTACTGCCGTTAGCGGTACCTTCATAAATTCAACTTTAGGAAGAACGACAAATCCATATTTTTGTGTTGATTTTTTAATTTAATTTTTCACAAATTAATGTCTAAATTTTCCGAAAATAGTTACCTCTCAGAAAAACCTAGACAGACCCCTGATGTATAAGGGTTTGCCTGGGGATGGCTATGAGTTTACCTTTCAAAATAGTCTTCCATAAAGCTTTTTCTTTCTTTTTTTTAAAAATTTTTTGTAGACCTGTAAACTTTTTTTTAATTTCAAGTCTGGTAAGTTTGTTGTTATTTTATATATTTATTTATATTCTCAGACCAATTCAACTTAAAAAGTTGATAACAACTTAAAAATTATAAATATAGTTATCAATGAATTTCAATTGCTTAGAAAATTTATTCATTAATTTTTTATCTTATCGTTAAGAAATTCTTTTATGATCTTTATTAAATTTATTTGTTTGCATTGTTTTCCATCTTTTAGTCATAAATCTGAAACACTGCCTATTGAAAGTCGGTACAATTTTACGACATTAGCTCTCTCACCAAATGGACGGCTTCTTTTAGCAATTAATGAACGTAAGTTTTCTTTATTTTCTGTGGAATTCTGTATATTTAGTTTTAGTTCATTGTACTGTTTTATGTTGCTTTTTCTTAAGGATCTTGGGAAAATATAAATATTGCACTAATGTTGATGTTTTGTTACAATTATAAAGCTATTTTTGATGATTTTTTTTCATTGCCAACCATTTTTGGTTAATTTTTTGGCACCACTTTCTTTAAATGTGAAAATTGTGATGCTATTAAACAAAAAATTCATTTTTATCATGACAATAGCCATTCTTCAACATGAATTATTATCCAAATAAAAAATATGGCAGTTCTATATCAAGTCATAACACATGAGCACCATATTTGTTAATCACTCTATACCAAATTTGATAAAATATAAACCAATGTACATGCTCCCAACTATTGTTTTACTTTTATTAAATATTCTATTCATAAATAAAAATACTGTAGGTCTTTATCTAATGTTTGCTTATGGGCAAGAGATTTGCTATCTGTCTTTACGAAATTTAAATCAATTTACTTGCTTAAAACCATTCTATTACGTCATTAAATACTTGAAACTAGCCCACCTAAAAGCAGCATATTAAATGCCAATATCTTCTTTTCAGCTGGTTACTTTTGTCTTACATCAATAAATACTTACATAATTAGCCAGTGGACGAGCATTGCCCATGCCAACCTATTTAATTTGACTCAAATAAGAAAATTAATACTCCAGTTCCCATTTTACCAGAATGTGGTACCTATCATCTATTACATTATTCGACCCACAGACAAAAGGTCATACAAAAATTAAATCTTTAACCTAAATTTTGTAATTAAATCGATGCAGAAAGACATCAACAATAAAACCTCATTCGCGACAGCACTCTTTCTCCTCTTCTCATCAAGTCTATCAACTGCATAATATTAAATCAGCAAGATTCCTGACTATCGTATCAAATGCTCTTTTTAAATAAAACCTTACCTTCGTCAATATTTTCACCACCTAACCTACTTATCATTACATCATATTTTCATTTCTACAATAAGTCCAATCAATGCACTGTATTTACAGATATTATTGCAAATTTGGTGTCAAAAGAAATCATTTAAAAATAACTGAAGAGTAGCAGAGTGGTAACAAATCACTCCCAGGCTTGCAATGTTCTGGACATAACTATACTTGATTAATTGATAAAAAAGAATTTATTCTTGGCACAAGTAAAAATGTTTTTTATTGTTATTGTCGTGAAAGAGATACAAATATATGTTGATAATGTTTTGAAAAATATATATTTGTATTTCTGTTGAGGAAAATAAACTTTTTAAAATTTGCTGTGTTAATTATGTACCATATGTAATATAGATAAATATTCTCCTTAATTAGTAACATTTTGTGAAAAATGTTAATGGAAATGGTTGAATTGCTAATGTGTTTTGAACAGGTGAATTTTAACTGAATTATTTAGTTTTCATTTTGAATATGGTTTCATGTTTTTTTCCTACTTTTATTCATATTATATCTTTATTAAATAATAGTAATATTCTTAATAAATTATTCAGCTACTCATGTGTGACATTAACTTTAAACAACTTCGTGAAAAATGTTCTTATTTTTAAATTTAGGAGAATACTCAAAACTTTAAAAAAAAAAAATAAAAAAAAAAATTCACATTTCATTGTGTTTACGTTTTTTTTTCTTCTTTTAATGTTATAACATTTTATATTCTCCAAGCAGCTACTATATATCTTTTAATATTTGAATTACTAAAATTTAAACATTGGTGTTGCATATTTTGTTTAAAATAAGCAATTCTTTTTTTACCTATTTGTTGTGAAAGGAACTGCATATTTATATTATGCTATAGAAACACTATTAATGCAGTTATTTTCATAAAAATGTAAAAATCACTTATTTTTCTTTTATATATTTCGTACATACTTTTATTATAATTGTTATCATATAGTTGTGAGACTTAATTAAGGCTTTTTTAACTCATATATATATGTATATACTACAGTGAATCCTTCGTTAAGCGGACATTCATGGGACCAAAAAATTTGTCCGTTTATGAGAGTTGTCCGTTTACGGGAAGGGTACCCTAATAACGAAATTTAACACCGTAAATTGTTTTTAGAATATTCTCTAAGATATAGAAATAATTAAATAATATCTACAAGTATACTGTAAATATCTGCAAGAATCTTTATTTAACAATAAGAAAGATAAAAAAGAATTTATAAAGAAGTGTGATATAAATACATAATTCTGGATCTAGCTACAGATAAATAAATAAATAAATATAATTTTCCTATTAGCCTAGATACTCAAGTTAGACATATGATACCAAATAGGAGCGTACTGTCCTCAGTCCGTTTCAATTATTAGGTTCACATCCGCTTACACCTACTTATCATTTGATAGGGAACATGGTTAATACCTTCTTGGAAAATAAACCTCCCATGATTCACAGAAAAAAAAGTAATGCATACCTGTAAGTCATGAGGACCTATGGAGATGATTATTCACAATTGATCAGCTATCAAGTGTCTGAATAAATGTTTCATTTATATAAACACCTCAAAGATTATACTTCTGTTCTCTTTTTTTTACCCCAGTTGTGTTAAATACAGTCTTCAAATTGATAAGAAAATTAAAGAAATTTTCAATGGGGAAGAAGCATTGAGAGAAGTCATTTCAACTTGAGGGGTCTCATAACCTGTGTGGTCCAGATGAAAAGATCAAAAGATGCCGATGTCAGAATTATTTCAGGAGTGCAGTACCATTTTCTCTCCTTTCTTTACAAAGATAAGGCAAGGTGACAGGAGAAAGATTGATTTTTCGGTGGTGAAATAGCTTAACAATATTTTTAGTTATGGATAAGGCAAAAAGTTTTATTTACATGCTTTAAAAATGGTGAAAAGTTGAATTTTTTTAGCTTGCAATTTATTTAGAAAAAGTAGTGTCCGGTTTGTAGAGATGAAAAGCAACTTTTCAGGACCAAAATGACTGTCCGCGTCCGGTTATGGGAGTGTCCGCTTTGCGGAGAATGTACGTAATGGTTTCTTCATGGAAGATTCCCGGGGAATTAAAAATATGTTCATATTGAGAGGCGTCCGTTTTGCAGGAGTGTCCGTAACAGGAGGTTTCACTGTATATATATAACTCAGAATTTCAGCTTTTTTTTATTTTCAATTTCAACAATCTCAAAGTTGTTCACCCTTTGCATAGTTGCATTGCTGAGTTGGAGTAGTGAGAAAACACAAAATTTGTGCAAATTTCTTCAGAGGGAAATTTCATGTTTGTTGCTTTTATTTTCTTTCTTTTTTTTTTCTTATTCATTGTGATTGAAGGTCTTTTAAATAAGTTTATTTTTTTATATAGAAACTACTCTGAGAATTATAATTGTGCAATTTTTTTATCATCTCTGCCTATGCTTATAACCTGAAATGAGTTTTTGTGTAACCTCTGACACAAGTGTCATGGGTTTGTCATTATAGGTCAAGATAGTTGCAAAGGCTAGAGATACCACCTGCAACATTAGCAAAAAATTCTATGGAACACGGAGTTAAAGTGTGACCAAGCAAGAGTTCTGATTTTTTTTCTTATTTCATAAATTTTACTTCACTTAGGTAACAAAAATAATAAGAGTCACTGAAGTATTCTTTGGGGCTATGAACGATTGATAATTATCAATACAACCTATTTATTATACATTTGTATAGTTTTTTTTTTCTTTTACAAAGAAAGGAGATATTGCATTTTGAAACATTATAAAAGCGGGTTTAAAATAATAGTCTACATTTGTTTACTATAATTACTCTAAATGACAGAAATTATTTGGAATGTTTCAAAGATTAATTAGTTAATTTTTTCCATAGCTGGTGAAGCTTTGTTAATAAGTCTATCACACAGAACTGTTATCCATAATTTTCATTTCAAGAGACCCATTGCAAGTGCATGTTTTAGTCCAAATGGAAGGTGAGTATTAATTTTCAAAGTGATGTTAAATTACTATTGAAAACTTATCTGCAAATAAATAAGATGTATTTGTTATCTTTATTTACAAAAATAAATGAATAGGATTCTTATTTCTCTTTTATGGTATGTCCATTAGATATTTTCAGAATATTTCGTAATGACACAATAATTGATTATTTTATAACAAAACTTTCTCAGTTTCTTTTTAATATAGTAAGGAAGGTATATTTCTCATACTGTAAATAATTTTGTCAATTTATTTTATAAAGTCAGGAAACATTAGTGTCCTCAAACTTTTTCTTTAAAAGCAAAATTTGATGTGGGAGTTTTTATATTTTTATCTAATGTATACTTCAGGCGTATTAAAGCTAAATAGGTTAATTCAAAATGAATATTTTAGGAATAAATTAGCTCATAGTACTTTCTTTTTCTTATTTTTATTGGTTTAACAAATATCAACCTTGTTATAAAATATTTCTTCCCTCACTAAAGCATGTAATTTTAATAAAAATTAATTATCATTTGGCAGTATTATAATTATTGTAATTTCATTTAAAAAACAACCTATCAGCTTACACTTCATAATATCATAGGATTCTAATGTTTAGTTTGGCAATCTGCAATTAAATATATCTTTCAATTGTTTAAAAAGTTGATTCACTCAATTTATTAAATCAAGTGTTATTATTCCTCGTTTTGATAAATGCTAATAGAAAAATTGTCATAAGATTTTTCTTTGTTTGTTTATTTGATATTTTAAAAGAAGTGAATTTGTAATTTAATTTAGTATTAATTATAGATATATTGGCAGAGCTCATTCTAGGCAGGGTAAACAGGACGCAGCACCCTGTTGCCCTTTTAGTCAAAAGAATTCACCCTGTTGCCCCTGAAGTAAATTAGTGCCCTGATGTAATAGACTCATACCCTTTTTGCCCTTTCCTTCCTCAACCCTTCTTTACTTTTTCCCCAAACTCTATAATGGATTTCTTAAATTGTTATTTTTAACTCTTTTTATTTAGTTTGTCATTGCTGTCAATACATAGATTTATATGGAAAGGAAAAATAGCCATCACAATCCATTGTTGCACTTGCCTTTGAAAGTTTGCAGCTACTTCCACTATCATTAAATCATAATTATTATTAATCATTTTAATTATTTAATCATAACTACAGACACTTAAAAACATACATTATTTTAATAATATATGCATGCATTTTAAATACATTACTAAGCTAATTAGCTCATTAACTCGATATATATGTTAATTTATTAATGAAAATAAGTAATTAATGATTGCTTTGCTACTTTTAGTTAAGTAAAAAAATAAAAAAAAATCTTTTACTAATTGACAATGTTTTTTAATAGAACGTGTAAAGAATTCATGTTTTTAATAGAACGCAGAATTATTGCCTTTTTAGAATAATAATGCCCTTTTTTTCAAACTTTTGCACCCTGCCCTTTTTTCTGTCTAGAATGAGCTCTGACATTGGCATGTGTGATCATGTTAATCATTTGCCTTTAATTGAAAAAAACTTATGCTTTGAACTTATTTAACTGCTGTAACATTTTTTTTCTTTTTAAGGTATATTGCTGTTACAAAGGAAAGTAATTTATTTATCTACCAAGTACCATGTACTTCTATGAAACAATTTAATGCATTTGTTTTAGAGAAGGTTTTTAATTTCTCATATGATGACACTCTATGCATTGATTGGACATCTGATTCTAGGTATTGATTTGTTTTGTAATTGTCAAGTTTTTGTCAATCAATTATTGATTATTTTAACTTGTTTACTTTTATCTTTTTGAATTTTTACAGAGTTATTGCTGTAGGAGGAGCAGATATGTCTACAAAAATCTATGCTCTCAGCCAGTTTAAAAATTTATCTGCTTATACATTAGGAAGTCATACTGATCATGTAGTTCATTGCTTTTTTGAAAGCAATTCTTTAGATGTATCCTTTTCTTCTTATAAATATTGTATTTTAACCTTTACTAAATTTACACTGTAAGAAGTAATGTTTGATGTATAATTTCTTAGTTATGTAACTAGATATATATTTAGCTTTGAATTATATTTATTTTGATGTTATTATTTCCATTTTTTTAAACTATGTTCTTAAACGTTTGTCCTGTTGCTTTTTTTTCTTGTAAATCTCTATTTAATACACACGAGTAGTTTTCACACCGACAATGGAAATTTAGTGGTCCAAAAAATTTATATGGTAGACAAACTCGAAAAGAAAAAAAATATGGAACTTGACTATTGCATAATTTATGTTATGGTACTCATCAAAAGTTATTTATTGCCCTCTATAACACCCTAAAACTACTCATTTTCCCAGAATGATTTAAGATTACAATTTATTAAAATTAAGTGGAAAAAAATTTCAAATAATATTAGTAAATAGATTCAAATGCTGAGCCTTAATAAGTAAATGAATGAGGAAAACAGAAAAAGTAAAAACTAACAACATATCAAAAATTCTAAATAAAATTCTGCAAGAACAAAAAATGATGTCTTATTGATGAACAATTACACTGTCAGTACATGAATGCAAAGGGCTGCACAATGTGTCAATTTGAAATTTCAAAATTTTAAATTTTTTGAACCAGGCTCTTTCAGTCATTCCATTTGAAAAGTCTTAAAACTGAAATCTAACCTACGCATGAAATAAAATGAGTACATTATTTTTTTCTTCCAAATACATCGATTTCAATGCAAAAAAAATTTAATAGTTACTGTTTTGTAATTTCGAAATATTGTAAAATATTGTTCCAAAATATTTTAAATTTTTGTTTATAAAATACTTCAAAATCTACTAGTATATTAGTACACCTCTTTTTGAAATTCTTAACTACATTTAGTTATATACCATTGGTAAAAATGGTCAGCTTTGTGTATGGGAATGTAGTACTGATTTGGATGGACTAATTCCTAAAGAAAGAAAACCTCAAACTGAAATAGATGAAAATAGTGTAGACGAAGTGGTTGACATTGAAAAAGGTAAATATTTTAAATTTTTTTTTATGACTTAGGCTAAACAAGCCTGTCTTCAAAGGTCAATGTGCTCTAGAAAAAATGTATTTTCTGGATTGATTATGCTAAAATTTTGGACGATTCACAATTTTTCAATAGTGTATTCCTATATTCTTTTTTTAGATGCTTAATCTTTTATCCTAATTAAAAATACAAAACTTTAGCTGTTGCTCAGGTTTTATAATTTATTTATGCAACTTTTTATATTTTCTTCGGTGGAAAAGCATTTTTTTGCTGGTTTCTTGGAAAGTAGTAGGAATTACTCTAGGTGCAAAATTAAGAGAAGAGGTTTTCTATTAGTAAAATGAATAAATAAAATAAAATTAAAGAAAAGTAATTACAATGAGGGCAACTAGAAAAAATTGATTTGGAAAATTAAATTGGGGGACAGATTATAACTAACCTACTCTCATAGTATTTGCATGCTTGATTTAATAATTATCTGGTATTTTTATAAAAAATATAAGGGATAGGTTTTGCTGTACAAAACAAGATTATAGCTATTTTTAAACATTATGTAGAAGTTGAACCCATAAAAAAATATCCACAGGCATATGATTTTTCAGCTAATAAGCTGAATTCCATAAATCTCAAGACTGTTGCTTTGCGAACTCTGTGAATCAATAATTTTATCTGACAAAACTTTCTTGGTATTTCGCCAGTCTAATATTGAAATTTATTTACTACTTACACAAAATCTGGTTAACGGGAAATTTATTCTGCCCTTAACAGCACCTTCCTCTTTTTTTTTTTATTCCTAAGCTCCCATTTGCCAGTAATAATTACTTTTTTACGCCGATTTGTTTGAGAAAAGCGAAGTAGAATTCAAGATTGAAAGCAATATTTAAAAGAGTGTTTGTTTGAAAAAAGGAAGTTTTTTTTTTCTCATTCTATATTTTAATAAGGAGCAATTTTGTTGCAAATTCCGATTTGTAACAGAAAAATTATTTCATCAATTTGGTATATTAGCCTCTTTTTTTTTCATTTGGCTACAGTTAGATCGAATTAATTTTTAATATCACAATAGAAAAGGTAATTTTCAAACCATGTATTTCAATAATTACTTTTCAACATGCTCGATACAGTTGTAAATCCATGTTTTGATCTTTTTTTTTTCGACTGCAATTAATACAATTGATTTTCTCATGTTTTTTTTAAAATTCGGATGTTAAGGCGTGTAAAATTTGAATCGCACGTTTGAGTAATCAAAAGAAGTATTACTTTAGCTATGTCGCCCTGGAATTAGTAGATCTGATTATAAGCAAATAATATAAGCTTTGAAAAAATTTCTTAAAATTCTCTGCTTATTTATTTGAAATAATATGGTTGTAGCAATAGCGTCCTTAACTTATCATTTGTAAACATGCAATAGTTTTCTATTCTCATACTGCGTATTACTTTTGAATATAATACCATTATCATGATTGATCATTATAATTTTTTTTTCTTTTAGAAAGAACAGTAGCAGAAAACAAGCCAGATGCAGAAAATAACACAGATGAAAAGGTTTTTTACAAACGAATTGGAAAGTATGCATAAAGATTGAGTTTTAAATTTATTATAAAATGTTAATGCGCTTTTTAATGTCTGACTTATTTGTGTGATAAACTTTATTTTCCACTGATATGGGTACGCTAAAATTACATTTTGAAAGGGAATAAAGTTTTGTGGAATTATTGTTTGAGGATTGGAAATTCCATTTTATTTAAAATAAATTGAACTACAATTCTTCATGCTTAAAAGAGTTACACATTTTGTTTATGCTTGCAGCTTTATCATGTTGAAATTTAATGTGATTTTGTCAAAACATTTTATTTTTTTATTATCAAAACATTTTATTTTTTTCTGTAGTCAAATATTTTTATCAAGCAAAAAATAAAAAATGGTTGCAACAAAAATGTTCTGAAATAACATTTGCTGAGAAAAGTTCCAAGTTATTTTTTCTTTTATTTTCACCTCCCAGCATTAAATTTTTTTTTTTTTTTTAACATTTAATTTTTTTTCATTTATCATCTTTCATTTTTCTCATTTATTGTTGTCCCTGTTCTTTTTTTATTTTTTTTGTCTCTGTTCTTGATAAAATACGAAATGGTTTTGAAATATTTTTTTGTTGTTTGAAGGTATTACATATCAAAATATTACTTTACATCAGATTTGTAATATATCAGTTTAATGAGATTTATAGTTTATATAAGATTATTGATCAGATAAATAAGATTTCAGTTTAGGATTTTCTAAAGTAAAGTTTAAATCAGAACAGCGCTACTAACCGTTTGCAAAAGCAACACAAATTTTTGTTGCTTTTTTGCTACATTGCCTAGCTTTATTTTCATGTGTAGCACATAATATACCCTTAATTTTTTGGTAGTTGTGGTGTTTATTTTACCGTCTATCTGTTTGCTTTTTGTAGACATTTCTTGAAAGATGCTCTGAATGGCAAAGAGGGTTATGTGGCTCTTACTGCTGCTGCTTATCACCAAAAGACTCATTTGCTAGTGACTGGATTTTCTAATGGCTCATTTCTATTATATGAAATGCCCAATTGCCTGCAAGTGCATTCCTTAACGTAAGTTAAAACAAGTTATGTTAATAAATAATAACGTGAGTAAAAACAGTTTATAATTGCATTTTTTCTAACGTAAATCCCCCCTTATATTATAAGATTTCCTTTTAAATTCTTCTGTGTTATTAATTTTAAGTTATGGTTTTCATCCAGCACATGTTTAAATTTAAAGTATGTAATTTTACCCCTTAGGTCAACTATCATAGTTGTCCTGATTATCCTGATAAAAAATATTTTGTCATCTCTTTTAGCTTTTTATCCTAATAATTCGGACTTTCTGTGTTTCCTACCTACACAAATCTAGATTTTTTTTTTTAAAAAAAAAAAATCAATTTGAAGAGTAAGAATCATTCACTATTTACATAAATGGTTCAGACCTGTAGCCTTTCTAGCAAGATTGTTTATTTTATTTTTATTTATTTATTTTGGTTCATAAAAAAACTCATTGAACAATCATACATTATTAGATTTTTATGGTCATATTCTTAAAGAATCATTAATTTCAACAAATGCAGTGGTGAGGAAGGAGGGGGGGAATTAGTAGTTTTTAATTGTTGAATTTTTTCTTTCAAGTGGATGTAAGTATAACTGATCTCAATCAACAATACAGTAATCATAAAATTTTTGAATTGAGGGATTGTCCATCTAACTATTTTTGTACTAAAATATTAAGCAGCATATCTGCTGAAATTTCATTTTAAGATTATTGAAGCCCTACTTTATGATCATTTAAATTTATTCATGATATAGATTAAGAATTTTAATTAAATATTGGCATGAGATGAAGGAATGTTAACAAATTGATACTGGTTATTTTTTTAATGCAATAATCCTATATAAATTACCATATTTTAATCTCAAACTGCTATGAGTTTGCTTCATTAATAAAATTATACAGAGAATTGTTAAAGATTTCTTTTCTTACAAAGTTACTTTAAAAAATACTATATTTTGTTATATTTTTTGGATAAATTTTACCTTTATTATGATTAAACAGTGTCTAATGTATGTATAGATATATATTGTATGTATAGATGTATAGTAAAATAAAAACACCTTATATAGAAGAGGTATTGTAGAACCTTTAGGTTTTTTTTAAACAAAACTTAAATTTTTTTGGCGGCGCATTTGCTAACTGCATTTATTTTTATAATTGCCACAATAACACTAGATAATCAGGGACATCACATATCTTGCAGTACTTGATAAATCTTGAAAATCTTTGAATTTTCTTGAAAAAAAAATAAGGGCCTGGAAAAATCCTTGAATTCTGTAATAGGGTCCTTGAAGAGATTTTGATTTTCTCATAGTAATTTTCAAAATAGTAATAATAGTTTTTTTACAAAAAAGTATGGGGAAAAATGTATGGGGACATGTGGGAACCACATGTAGCATGCCATGCACTAATTTTAAAACTTATTATTTTATTTCCTAATGTGTGAAAATTAAAGTTTTATTCCAAACTGTAGAGAATGGAAGTAGTCTGCCAAAATTCCAATAATTTTTTTTCCAGTACAAAAAATCTGGTATTTTCTGATGCATGCATAATGCTATCAAATCTGAAATAGTAAAGAATTTTGCATGAGCACAATTTTCGAAAACCTCTGGTGTATAAATTCTTTAATGTGAAAAGGGAATTCATAATTTTTCCATCCTACTTTTTTTTCTTGGTAGATTATCATTCACTTTGATGTTAAGAAAGTTAGAATATCTAGCGAATAATTTCCGATTTTGTTCATAGTTTCAGTAGTTAATACTTGATATGCAGTATTTCTTCACATTATAAATATAATCATTCTGTTAACTTCATCTAATTTTTTTATAGTTTTTGTTCAGATTTTCGCATTTAATTTTTACCTCCAACATGTAAAATTTAGGTCTTCAGATTCAGTGCATTATGAATCAAACATTGTGATTCACATTAAAGTGATTTGCGAATCACTCATCAGGGTTTGCATTAAAATGCTTTCTGAACCATGCAAAGTACATTTAAATGTTTTCTAAATCATGCAGTGCAATTCTCATTCAAGTTATTTGCGAATCATGCTTTGGGACTTGTGTTAGAAGGATTTAAGGTTAACTGTTTGCAATTCTTATCAAAGTGATTTATGAATCACATATAGAGATTCTAATTTTAGTTACTTATTGAATCTTGTTTTATATTCCAATAATTACCAGATTACGCATCTATTTTTTGATAAAAATAAATTACAAATCATGCATTGAATTTTTCATTAAAGTAATCAAATAATCACTTATGGTGGTTTATGACTTGTTACTTAGTGCATTTTTCAAACTATCATTTGCTATTCATATTGTTTTGATTTACGAAGCCTATGTTGCATTTCAATTTGCAAGTGATACATTATGATACCTAATTTACGTAGATCTTAAAGGCTTGCTTCATGTTACATTTAATATGATTTACATGTGACATATTGCAATTTATATAAACACAACATTTTGCAATTTATGATCCACTTTAAAGTAAATAAAGTTTCATAAATCTTAGGTTGTTATCTGTCGTAATATTGTACTACACAAGATTTTATTGTGTCCAAAATACATTACTATTATTCTGAAGTGATAAAAAGATTGTGTTTTTAAAATTAAAACAGATATGCTAAATGTTATTTTTCAATTGATGCTTTATTAAATTTTTCACGAAAGGTTTTACTGGTGCCAATCTATAAAATAAGTTGGCAAGTATGCTAATATCAATTGGAAATTTTTTGTTAATCGTCAAACTGATTTAAATCACAATGTAACTATCAAACTATTTCCATTGGTAGCCGAGGACTACACATATTAAAAAATTGCTTTAATTTGAAATTGATTAATTTAATATATGCTTCAATGTAATAAAATCTGTTTGGCATGTAATTTATTGTATAATTTATTACTAAGAAGGCCCTTGAAAAAATTGATTTTAGGTCCTTGAAAGCCATTGAAAAGACCTTGAATTGTTTTTGAAAATTGAGTGGGAACCTTGGACATATACAGGTTGATTTTGCTCGTAACAAAAATCATAGTGGAAAAAAAATCTGTCAACATAAATGACTGCAATAATAATTTTAAAAAAATGGAAATTTTTAATTTCTCTCTTGGGTTTTTTCACAAAAAAGAAATAGCTTCTGTGTTAAAAAAATTTTTTCCCCCTAATATTTCATGTTTACTGAGGACTGTGTTGTAATTTACTTTTTGTGCAGCTTAGAAATTGATATAAAATAATCTTTACCATTTCTTGTTTTGTTTAAAAAATATATGTTAGATGAATATATACGTTTTGATAAGGTTTAAACAGCTGTAAAAATCTTTTACTGGTATTCAGTCAGCTACCAGGATAAAACTCTTCACCCACATTTTTTCAAACCTAATAGGAACGAGTCCATAACAGACTGTTCCGCCATAGTGCCTTTTTTTTTAATGGCTATTGTTCTCAAACTGTGTTGTTTTTAGAAGCCATTAACTATCATTCTTTCTTTTTTTCTAAAAAAATAATTTTAAAACTATAAAATGTTTTATATTTTGCAATTGATTTTTATTCCACCTGCTTCTGTTTCAGTTTATCGAATCAACCGATTGCAAGCATTGCTTTCAATTGCTATGGAGACTGGATAGCACTTGGAAGTGCTGGAATTGGACAATTAGTGGTATGGGAATGGCAAAGTGAAGCTTTTGTGTTGAAACAACAAGGGCATTTCAACAATTTGCAGTGTCTCTCTTATTCTCCAGATGGAATGTATATAGCCACTGGTGGCGAGGATGGTAAAGTAAGTTTAAACCAATGGTTAATTTTAATGAAATGCTTTAATTTTCTACCAATATTTTTTTATAGAGGAAAGTTCTTTTAAAATATTAAAAAGATATAAATATTTTTATTTTATTTTTTATCACTATTTTTTCCCCCATCCAGGTTAAACTTTGGGACACATACACTGGTTTTTGTGTTGTTACATTTAGCGAACATTCAAGCTCAATAAAGGGTGTTACATTTTCTCAAAATGGAAAAGTTGTGTTATCTGCTTCAGTTGATGGTACTATTCGAGCTTTTGATTTAAACAGGTTAATATAATTTTTCAATTTCTATTTTTCAAGCTTGTATAATATATAAAAGTTTATGTCTCTTTATATTATGATCTATGTGCATATTTTACAAGTAGCAATCATGTTAAAAACGAAAAATAATAAATTTTAATTTTGTTGAGGAACATACTGAAATTAAGAAACAAGCAAAAAACATATTTTTTGTGATTAATTTACATTACAAGGTTTAATTATGGAAATGATTTGTTATTCTTCTGCCCCTGCTGTTTGTTGTGTTTTTTTTCCCCTCACCTATCACTTTTGGCTTAATTTTATTGCTGCCGCTTTCGTTATTTGACTAAAACAGAATAAAAACTACAGGGTATCTGCGCCCTGGAAAGTCATGAATTTGGGTATTGAGCAAAATTTGTCATGAAATGTCATGATTTTAACTATTTTTTAAAAAAATTCATGGAAAGTCATGGATTTTGGTCACCGAAATTTTTTTTTTAAAAATGGAATCCCCCCAAATTTCATGGTGTTCCAAATATCTGAATTTGTAACAAAATCTCTACTCAGAGTCATATTTTATTAAAATATAAAAAGTTTTTATCATGTTCTTTAAAAATTATGCTGTTTTTTCAAAAAATGAGAGAAAAAACATCATTTCTAGAGCGAAGTATCTTTTAAACTTCTGTAATTTCAGAATTAGGAAAAAAAAATTTATTTTTTTATTTTTTTTATTTTATCAATTTAAAATTCTAGCTGAAGCAAGCCAGTCATTTGCAAAGTTTTTTTATTCCGAAATGAGAACAGAAAAATCAGGAGTATCTCTTTCCTTTCTGATGAACAAGAAATGTATCTTTTGAATATACTTCTGCAGAAAAAAAGAAGAAAAAATTATTTGCTCTGCTATTATTTTTTTCAGCTATTTTATTGCTCCAACTCTTTTCTTACTCTGTTTTTTAAATTTAAAATCAATAAATATGAAGATGCAGAGTATAACATTTTTGGTTATATCTATCATTTTAATTAATGTTATTATAGTGATTTTTAAATTTATTATTCTGTTTTTTTCGGAGAAAATAGTAACTTCGTTAAGTCATGAAAAGTTCTTGGAATTAGTCATAGAAAGTCATGAATTTGAAAATCTAAAATGTAGCAGATACCCTGAAACTAGCTTCTCTAATAAATTCAATGCTAAGTTGTCTTACAGTTATTTTTTTTAAACGTAAAACATGCAATTCATGAGTAATTTCAGGTCTATAAAATATGTAGGCCCCTGGCAACTGGATCGTTATCCACTGTGCTCGATGCTAAAAGATGGAGTTTACTTTTATTTCGGTCAATTTTAGGCAATAGTGTAGGGTATGCCTGGCAAATGTATACCAAGCAGTGGCCCTTGATCTTAAAAAATGCATTGCATATATATAATTTATTTTTTAAAATATACTAAACTTATTTATTTTTTTGTATTATTATTATTCAGATAAATATAATTTGCATTGTCAGATACTTTAGTAACTATTCCAGATACTTTTTAAAATCTATTTCTATTCTATTTAAATTTGATTTTCACGAAAGTTTAAACAATATTGACACAAAATTAATTATTTAGGAGTTAAAAATTATTAATTTGTCTTATTAAAATGTAATATTGTTATTATTATTGAAATTTTTTTCACTCTCAAACATTTAAACGAGGAATTTATGAATGTGATTGATTGGTCTGTGAGTTTGATTTAATGATTTCTTTAAAGGTATCGGAATTTCCGAACATTTACTTCCCCAAAACCTACCCAATTTTCTTGCCNTGTTTTTGTTCAAAGTAACTATTTCAGATACTTTTTAAAATCTATTTCTATTCTATTTAAATTTGATTTTCATGAAAGTTTTAACAATATTGACACGAAATTAATTATTTAAGAGTTAAAAATTATTATTTTGTCTTATTAAAATGCAATATTGTTATTATTATCGAAATTTTTTTCACTCTCAAACATTTAAACGAGGAATTTATGAATGTGATTGATTGATCTGTGAGTTTGATTTGATGATTTCTTTAAAGGTATCGGAATTTCCGAACATTTACTTCCCCAAAACCTACCCAATTTTCTTGCCTTGCTATTGATCCTAGTGGTGAAATTATATGTGCAGGATCTGAAGACAGTTTTGAAATTTATGTTTGGGCAGTACCCACTGGGCATCTTTTATCGGTAAGTATATTAATTTACCTATGTTTACGAAAGGATTATTTTCTAATGTTTATTTCAAATCTTATATGAGCACTATGTTAACTTTATCATTCTGTTTATACTTGCTTATTTTTTAAAAATCATGTTTACTATGTAACTAAGTAATAAATCACCTTTGTTTGTGAATAAATCATTGTACTTATACATTCTAATAAACAAGTAGCATGCGATGTTCATATTAGAAAAAAATATATATAAAACTGTATTTATGAAAAAATATAATTTAAAAAATTATTTACAGAAAATTTTTAAAAAAGCTGAAAATTTTTTGTAAATTTGAGTAAATGTGCTTTTAAGTTTATATGTTGTTTCAATTTGGTAAAATCTATAAATCCTCAACACTCATATAAGCAGTTTGCATCATCGCACTTGCATTCTTGGTATTTGAACTGTTGCAAAGGACAGGTTTTCCAAGTTAACTTGTGGACTATTTATTGCCAAATGCTTTTATATCATTCTACCACTCCAAAAGCACTCTTAAGACAATCAGTTGGATCTATCATCCATTGAAATTTTTAGATTTAATTGACTTTGCAGAACAAATTAATATTACACAGTTAAATTAAACAATTAAAACTGATTAATATTGTATAACAATATTGGAAGACTTCTGGGATTATCTTTATTTATTTATTTTTTTCAACAATGTCACTTACACCCTTTATTCACTCAGCTCTAGTTTTTATGTTAACTCATAAAAAGTTCTATAATCAATTGTGAACCTGGCTTTATGTTTTTGACGGTTAACTAAGAGTATTTTTTATTGCATTTTTCAATCAATTCTCATTACATATTTTTTCTCTCACCTAGATATTATCTGGGCATGAAGCTCCAGTAAGTGGAATTAGTTTCAGCCCCGTTGATTTGGTGATTGCTAGTGCATCTTGGGATAAAACTCTTCGACTATGGAATGTTCGTGGAAGCAAAAGTATCCGAGAAACAATAACTTTAAACTCGGATGGTAATTAGTTTAGTTTTTCTTTCCAATTTATCGCATTTGAACCATTTTGAGCATTATATTTCAAGATCAGCTGATAATGTAATGACTTAGTTCTTGGTAGCTATTATAATTTGGGTTTAAAAGTTATCTAGTTACTTAACTTCATAATTTGGTTATTTTGACTGGACCTTTTTTTGTTTTGTTTTATATTTGTCAAAGCATATTTTATAGTTGAGATTTTCAATTTTAAAGAAATGTCTTTATTCGGATAGATAAGAAATTTTTTGAAGAAAATTAAAAAAATTAAAGACAATATTAAAATTTGTAAATAAATATATTTCAGTAGTTTATGATTGAATGCAAGTTTTATTGCTGAATAAGTCTTTATTCAGTATGTTCTCAAATGTTGCACTGAAATTTGCATGCAATTTTAAACTACTGCAATATATTTATTTTTGAATTTTTGTGTTGTCTTTTATCTTTTCTTAATGTCATCATGGTCTGTAACTTGTCTAATAAATCTATTTTTAACGTTTCATTTTTATATTGAAATTGAAACAATTCATTTATGTTAATTAATTATGTTATTTAGTGTTTCATTTATTAATCCTTAATTCAAAATTTTCCAAGTTCTCTGAAAACATTTGAATGGAAATATAATTTTCACAAAAAAAAAAGAGAAGAAAACGTTTTCTTTTCAACAAGAAACTCGTGTAGTTTGAGTTATAAAACCTTCAAAAAGGAAATGGTATTAAAAATGTATGATGTAATTTGAGACGTTAAATCTTTTTTAACCATACTCAGTTTTAAGGTAGGAGTTCAAAGTGTTGAGAGACCTATACAAAAAGTATTATAAATTTTAAGGGGGTGATTGATTTAGACTTTTTGTGTAATATTTGAATGCATAACCTACTTTCTAGTTTTTTTTTTCTTTTTAAAAAGTTTTGATTATTTCACATTTATAAATTACTGGCAGTTTAATAATCTAAATATTGATTGCCTTTCCCCATGTTATGGAACTTTAGGTCTGATTTGTGATTAATCAGTTTAATTAGTCAATTCTGTTATTATTAAAAAATAGATATTAGATATAGGCTTGAGATTCTTCCCCTTTTTGAACTGATTATTAGTATTCAATTAACTAATATTTTTTTATAAATGTTATTACAGTCTAGTAACATTCTTGTAGTTGTCATTACATTAATTTAATTCAAATCATTGAATTAAAAACTTCTAGTTAAAACACAACCATTTATTAATAATAACTTTTAATTTATCCATTTTAATATGTTACCTTGCGCACATCCATTTCTCAGGCATATCCAAAGCAATTGTCAATCGTTTTTTACTTCAGTATCACTCTTTTAAAAAAATTTTACAACACCTCTCTCACACTATATTTTCGTATTTTGTAATCCATAATTACGAAATCTTCTAATTTTGGCAAAGACTTTCAAATCTCTGGCTTATTTTACAATTTATATAGTTATTTTAGGTGACCATGCTTAAATTTTTTTACGCATAAAATATACACATCGTGTTATCTCTACACTCACTCTTACCCTGTTTTTTATGTATTTTAAATATTTTTTTTTCTAACTGTATCTTTTTTTACTGTGTTATCCCATGTGTATTTCTTGTAATTGGAATTAGTTCCCCAATCACATAATTGCCTCAAAGGAAGGGAATAAACGTAGTTTATATCGTATGTGCAACTCAACTTAGTGTTTTAATTGTTTTTGTTCAAATCACAAAGATGAACAGCATTACTTATAAAATTTATTTTTGATCATTTATTTTGAATCATTTTTTTCAAATTTGATAAAAGCAAAGAACAAAATGTCTTATTACCAAACTCTTAATGGAAAATATTCTAAGGATTTTCCGTTTTCAGAACCATCTAGACTTGACTATGGGTGCACATTCTTTGAGATTGGCCACTGTGATTTTACTATTTTTCATCATGTTATTTAAGCACGTGAAATGTGCAGAATGAGTCAACACCAGCTCAAAATTAGCTGCACATGTAAAGAATTATGTTATGGGTGTAATTAACTCTAAAATGTAATTTACATCATTTCTTAACGAGTATAATATTCCATTTACGGCCGCTGATCATGTACGTAATTTGTTTTGTAAAATGTGCCTAACTGTATGGGTATGGAAGAACAAAGATGTCTGCTCTTTTTAATCAAATAGCTACTGATCATGTTGATACAATAGTTAAGTAAATGCAACTTAGTTCGTTTTCAGCCTCTTGTGATGATGTAAGTTGTAATCAGTTGCTTTAATCCTGCNCACACACACACACACAATTGTAAACTATCTATCTTCTAAATTTTAGTGGTACTTTTAGTGGTAGTCTGTTAAATGGAACTAATTCTTTTGATATTAAAGAAGCATTAAATTTTTCTTCATAGGTTTAGCTACTATTTATAAGCCTGATGGTGGGGAAATTGCTGTTGCCACTTTAGATGGTCAAATATTATTCTTTGACTCACACACATCTGAGCAAACAGGATGTATTGAAGGTCATCATGACTTATATGTTGGAAGAAGAGAAACTGACAAAATTACTGCCAAAAGTCTTCTAAAATCTCAGTAAGAATTATGGTATTTAAATACTGAAAGTTGTTTATAATTAAAAAAAAAATACTCAGTACATTGAATAAGATGATTTCTGTTTCATATGATTCACTTAAAATTCTCTAACATGCAACAAGATGCTTTTTTTTTTTTTTTTGCTTGCAAAATTGCTTTATCTTTTATTATTTTAGTTAAACTTCAAAATAAAATTTTGTTTTCAGAAACTTTCGTCAAATCTGATTTAATTTTTTACTTGTCTGAAAATTGACTATTATATTTCACCACACATACTTAATTCCCCCGCCTTTTCTATCATAATTTAATGAGAATTTTTTCTTCCTTTCGTAGAGCTGCTGGGCAATGAATAGACAAAACTACATCAGATAAAGCTTATGTTAGACCGCTGTAATAATGATGTTAGTGAATTTTAAATCAAATATCCTTATACCTGTTTTCAAAAAAAGGTCTTCATTTTTATGGTCATATTAACATTAAATTTAAATTCTTTATAGCAGTGTTATTAAAATATTAATTATTCATGAAATAAAATTAAAAAATATTTACCGTATCTCTCCAATCAGGATATCTTAGTTATCAACTTAGATTTGATTCCATTTACTTTAGATAATTGAGGTCTTCCTATGTATTTAATTCTGTAATAAATTATATTAAAGTCAATATGTATTTACATACTTATTTCGAGTTACTAAGCTTTGCATTGTATTTTCAGAGCATTTCATGCCCTTTGTTATACAGCTGATGGGGAATGCATTCTTGCTGCTGGTCGGTCAAAATATGTATGTATTTACAATGTGGAAGAAAAAATTCTAATGAAGAAGTTTGAAATAACCTGCAATCTTTCATTTGATGCTGTTACTGTAAGTTATAATGTATAATTTGTAACTTGCTATTGTTTTTCTTTTGTTTGACTCTTTTAAATTTTTTTTTATAATTTATCAATCTATGTTATTGCACTTATTGAAATGAGTTGCATTCGCAAATTGACAACATCAATTTTGCCGATCAGCGTACTTTACAAGTCAGAAATCGTATTTTTTATTAACATTTGAGGTTTTTGTTTACGCTTGTTTAGGTGAATGTGCAGTCCACCACTAGGGATCAGGGATATTGAATGCAAGATAATATTATGTCTTTGTACGCCATATAGCATGTCATTTTAAATCAGAGATAATCATAATAATTTGCATTCTTCATAAGCTTTGTTGACATCGACATTATGTAAATCATATATGGGTATAAATTAAAAAAATCACTTGTACTTCTGTCCTTCGGCCAGTTGCTTGTTTCTAAAATCTAATGACTAATGACCAAGTTCTGTTTGTATTTGTGATTGTTTTGCAGTCATCATCATCCTAAGTTTATAAGTTACTTTTTGATGTATTTCATCTTACTTATATAGTATGTGGTATTTATCATTAAAGTAATGTTTAAATCATTATAAGTATCTGAAGCTTTTATTTCTGTAAAGTTAAGCCAGCCTTCTGCAAATGGAATCATGCATAATCTTTATAGTTCGTTCATTGTCGATGTGAAATTTTATTTTTAAACCCAGTGACAATAGCTGGCATGTGATTCTTCCGTTATTTCATGGATTTCTATGAATTTCAGAATCCGCAAATCAATTATCTATGTTCTGGCAAAGTTTTCTAGGAGTTCTGTCCATCAGAAATACATGTCTCGTTAATGAGACATTTATTCCGCCATTACCAGCACCGTCTGTTTTTTTTCTTTTTTTTTCCAAAGCTCTCATTCACGAGTGATAACTTTTGTTTTTTTATGCTCAATTTTAGCATTGAATTACAAGTTGTTTTTTTTTTCGAGAAAAAAAATGACGGATAAAAAGATGATTTTAGGCATTGTAAAAGCTTTCCCCTGGAATCACTTCAAGAAGAAAAGCATGCTAGTTTGTAATGTTGCAATTGTTGTTTTACTTATTCCCTATGGTTTGAAAAGATTTTAAGTTTAGGCTGCAAAATCTTAAAATTACTTATTTTTCTTTCTTTTTTTTAAACAATTTTAGTCCTAAAGTCGCTTTGATGTTAGGTTTGCATTGAAAAAATCAGAAGGAAAAAAGACAGTATTACTGCCTAATTTTTAAAATAAATGAATAACTGTGATATTATCATTTTCTTTATTCTATTTCTATTTTAGGATTTCATCAATCGAAGAAGAATGACTGCTTTTGGGAATAAAGCTTTGATTGAAAAAAGAGCTGATGAAGAAACACTTTCAATTCCCATTCCAGGGAGTAAATTATTGGATAAAAGTTCAAGAGTTTTCAAACCAGAAATTAATGTGACTGCAATTCAGTTTTCACCTACTGGTAATGTCGAAAGACAAGTGATTTTTATGTTTTGTAATTTATTTCTACTAACCAGAATTAGAACATCTAAATCTAACCAAATATCCATACCAATTGTTCTACCAAATTACTGTGTATGCAATCTGATTTTACCTTTTTGCATTATTATTTTTTTATTTTTTTTTCATTCAAAGATGAGAACATATTTGCTACGTAATTTTTATTATTTTAATTTTATTTATTCTTATTTATATTTGAATGTTATTGGTGATCTCAAAATGTGTATTAAAGAAGAAAAAAAACAACATTCAAAATATGTTAAATACATACAGTGACCTCTCACTTATGCACCTTTTTCATTTATACGACGATTTTTATAGGTCCCATTACATTAGATAGGAAAATAATGATAAACATCCTTCGTTTATGCGTTGCTCTAAAAGTCAATTGTTCAATTATACGTCGAAATTTTAGGATAACATTTAAATTTTTTAATCCTTTAAATATTTTTTCTTATTTAAAAAAATAATTTTAAATTAAAAATGAAGCAAATAAGCAATCCTTGTTACAGATGAAAAGAAATATTTGTTGTTAGATCCTATTGAATTTGCTTCCCCCTGTGACCTTTTCATTTTTGCTGTTTCTGGAAAGACATTCTTTCTAGAATTTTGAATAGGGTGTCTTATCTGTTACACCAACAACAATGAAAGCCCATTCATCTTTTAGAAAATGACCATTCCTCTTGTCCAGAGGTTAGTTTTACTCCCATGCTGTTTTCTAGAGAAAAAAAAGACACCTGGAATACGAAAGATGAAAGAGACCGCGATCACTTACTTGCAGTCAGATGGACATTATAAGTAAATAAAAGGAGGTGATCTGTTTAGTGACATTAGTAATCGAACAACTTATTGTGCAGCATATTATGACGTCAAATACTTTTCTTAGAAATTTATCATGTAATGTTTCACCCCCTCCCATAAAACTCAAATTTTTTGTGAAGAAGTGTTTATTTATATCTAATTAAAACTTGTGGACGATGAGAATGTGCTGGATGATAAAGTTCCTCCAAATCACACAACAGTATTGGAAGCTTTAGACACTATTTGTGACTATTTACAATTTAATTTTGCTGCTGAAACTCCCCCTTATCCCATTTATATGAACTGGAGGAAACTGTTTTTGAAATAAGTTGGGAAAAACAAATACAAACATGTATTAAGATTATTTTCTAAGGAAATAAATTGTCTTAAGGTATGTTAAATTTTTTCTTTGTATAATTATATTACTAAATACCAAAACAGTATAAATATTAACATTTAATCTTTAGAAACATATTTATTCATATTGTCACTGCAATTTATGTTGCATTTTACAATTTTGAAGTTTTTCACTTAGGCGCCTCTTTCACTTATGTGCCTTTTTCTCTTGGCCCCTTGCACCGGTGCATAAGTGAGAGTTCACTGTATTTGAATGTAAAGAATGAACTGAACTCAAAATTTATGTTTAAAAAAAATAGCACAGAGCATTTGTTTTAAACTACTCTTATGAGTATTTTCAACTTATGATTTCTATGAAATTCATAATGCATAATGTTTTTTTAATTAAATCTTTTTTCATCCAGACTATAAATGTTCACAAATTTTGTTTTACTGACAAATTGTGTTTTAAGATTATAATAGCAGCAGCAAATATTCTTCAATTCTCATCAGAATTTCATTTTTTGAATATTACTTTATCAGTTAAGAATCTAAATAAGAAGAATACAGGGTTGCCACTCCACAGGGAGAACAGGGAAAACCTGGAAAATACAGGGAATTTAAAAATCACATAAAATAACAGGGAAAATACAGGGAATTTGGATTTTTTCTTTACAAACTGAGAAAATACAGGGAATTTTGTTTCTATCTTTTGTCTTTTAAGAAATGGTGACTACTCAAAGCGTAATCTATAGGATATTTAACCATGATATTTCAGCTATACTAAACTATTTCATTTACTATAGCATTATTTAAGTATGTTCAGCTGTTTTTCTAGCAATTAAAACTAATATATATAGTTAGCCCACTATAGCTCACACAAGAGCTCAGTAATTGTTGTTTCCTCTTAATATATTGTGTGTAATATGTACAGGGAAAACACAGGGAATTTTTTTTTCAGATTTGAGTGGCAACCCTGGAATAGTTATACTGATGTATTTCCTTGTATGTAGTGGTGGCCAAAAATATATTAAAATATTGATGTTTGTTAAGTTTTTGTCATCACTTTTAAAAATTTATAAGGCCAATTTAAAATCTATTTTTGGATTTCTTTCTGTGGTCTAGATATTCGTAAAATCCATGGCACTGCAGAAGTAAGATTTACATTTCTCGGTTGTGATCTTTCGAGTTTCAGAAAAATGTTTGGGGAAAATAACGATTTCAAAGAAACCAACATTGATTTGCTCTTTAGTATTGTAACTCAATGAGATCATCTGATAAGTTACATTCATAAAAAACTCAGTCACCGGAATTAAAAAGTCTTTTTTTTAATTCTTTTTTTTAAAATAAAACTTTAGCAAGTTACCTTTCCCCCCCCTTTTTTAGTTTAAGTTATTTAAAAAATATGAAGATAGATTTATTTGTGTATATATAATTATGAATAGAAATTTACAGTATCAATTCTTGAGAGATTAATATTCAAAATATGTGGAAATAAATATTTGAAGATATATATTTTATACGAAATCATCCAAAATCCTCAAATAGGTTGGAAGTTGCGAATAAATCTTCTCTTTTCCATGAAAGGGAAAGAAGAAGGAAATAGATTATTTTTGGCTATTCGGGAATCATTTTATTTAGCCTTGTTTTATATATTTATTTAGCCTTGTTTTATTTTTGTTTTAATTTTTAAAAAAATGCTATAAGGATATTTTTCTTAAATTTAAAACAAGTGAATATAAAAAATTACTTAATTTTGAGTGATCCTTTCCCTTTTTCAATATCTTTAGGCCGAGCTTGGGCTGCTACAACAACGGAAGGACTTTTAGTTTATTCTTTAGACAACAATTTGGTATTTGATCCCTTTGATCTTGATATTGATGTTACACCTGCAAACATCAGAAAGACTTTACAAAAGGAAGAGTATTCTAAAGCAATTATGATGGCTGTAAAATTAAATGAGAATATTGTCACAAAAGAAGTCATTGAGTCTGTGAAGCCTGGTGACAGTAAGTTTAGATTTTATGTATTTCAACTGTATTGAATATACACTAATGTTAATGTGATAACATAATATTCAACCTATTAATGATGTTACAAATTTATCATATCTAGAATGATGATATCGGAACACATCTCAGCAATATCTTTTCTTAACTTATAAATATTTTGACTGTGTATTTCTGCATTTAATTATTTTATCTACATTTTCTCATAAATCATGCACATTTATACTAATAATAAGTAATGGAATTTAGTTTATAATATAAATGCAAGTTTTTTTTCTTTTTTCCTTTTGAGTAAATCAGCAAGAACTATTAAATCCTAAATATTTATTTGTTACATCAGAAAAATTAAAATTTGTTACCCTATAGAATTTGAATTAATTTCAAGTATGGTTTCATGCAACTGGATGAATCACTTTTCTCACTTAATGTTGCTGTCTTAAGAAATAGTAGTTATTATGTCACACGAATTTCAGTAAGGAGTATTCATGGGTAAATACACAAGTGGGCGACCTTTGTGCTAAAATACAAACTAAGGTAGACAACGTTAAAGAGCAATAAAGAGCGTTAAAGAGCAATAATAATAAAAAATAAATTAAATAATAATATTTTTGTGCTCTTTAACGTTGTCTACCTTAGTTAGTATTCATGGGTACAAGTCTTCCGTCCCCAGGACGTCCCCTTTCGAAAATGTCCGCGAACCGAAGTAAGACGGAAACAAGACTGACTCGAAGACGGAAATCGGAAAATTTTTTTTCTGTCCTTAAAAATATTTTTTAGGTCTACTCTCTACTACTTAAAAATATTTTTTAGGTCTACGTTATTGGTCTACTTTCTTATGTCCTGTTGTTATTTTATCAAAAGAGAGATGAATAAATATTATTTGTACAGTATTTAAACTTGATGTATTATGGTAAAGCTTTCTTAGATATTTTGCATATGTCGAGGGGGTATTGTGTATGTTAGGTATTTCAGTCAAAAAATTTTCAGTCTTGGCTTTTTTTCCAACTTGTACCCATGGGACTATTTGTTAGTGCTTCATTTGAAAATCGCTCTTAGGCGTATTTGATTCCATCGGCATCTTACTTTTCAGCAATCTTTTCTCTGCATCTTACTTTTCAGCAATTACCCTAGGCGCATGTGTGAATACTTAAATTACATGTGAGAGATGAACTGCATACGCATGCACAAATCGGGGCAGTAAGAAATCTCTATAATTTTTTTATCTTTTGACGTTTTTGATTCACAGAAATCTCTGTTTCATTGTATGTAAAATTACGATGAAATCTCTGTGAGATTTCATCCTAATTTTACATAATTGAATTACAGTTTTTTTTGTATTTATTTATAAAACTTTTTTGGCCCTTTTCATGTGTATTTGTATTGAAAAGAAAAAAAATGATATTTTTAATTCACTGTTATTACGATATGCATTTTTCACTTTTGAGGTAGCACTTTTTGACACTCGCGACTCGAGAGGTCGATTCCATCATAAATACATGTCGTTTGCAGATCCCTTTTCATCTCTTTCACTTTTTATCAATATGTTATATCTTAGATTCCTGCCATGATGTAACAATGCACAAATTTCGGTTTTCAGTAGCGACTATTAATGAACGATTTATATAAAAATAATTTTGGATGCGTTTAGTTCTACTGCGATTCCACTTTATTTTTCCCATCATTTTTTTATTATTTCCTTTTTTTTTAAATGTGATATTTTTTTATTGATGTTCTTATGGCATGCAAATTCGAATTCAACCTTTGTAGGACAGTAAACACTTTCTCTCTTCATGGCCCACTATATTTAGTATGAGGCGGAACCTTAATGACCCAGGCAACTCTAGATCACATATACATGACTTCCGTACAATGTTCTCATACTAGTATGTATAAGTTCAGAGCGTGCAGACCTTGAGTTTTCTCCATACACCAATTCTGAAGTTGTTAGGCTAGTGTTACGTTGGGGCCATGTACAAAGAAAAGAATTAACAGAAAGAGCAAATATTTGTAAAAAAAATACGATGTGCCGCAATTACTAACATAAAATACAACTGGTGAGGTACAATTACTAAAAAAACAATAACAAAAACTTATTTCTTTACATACCCTTTCTCGACCAACCAGGATAAGTAACAATTTATCAGAATGAAGCTGAACGTGTACCTAAAGTAGGAGTCAATGACATCAAATGAAGAGAAACTCTTGAAAAGCACTATAAAATCCTTGTTTATTTATTTTGAAAAAAAAAAGCATCGAGGAGCACGATCAAACACTACATCATCAATACACAGCTGGCACATGATTGAAACAGGGATAGGCATTAGTGGTGGACCTCTTAAAATGGACAGCTTCTTAAAAGCACATTTGAAGTATCAAAAATCCCTCGAGAAAAACAAGGAAAAGGAGGAGAGAACGTAAAAAATCATTTAACACGGGATTGGGGTGCCGCTGGAGTCATACTTCTCAAAATCTACCATCTGCAAATTCATCCATGGCGAAGGAGAATGCTATCACAGTCGGACAGCGAACGCACCCACGGGGGGTGGAAGAAAGAAAAATCCCTGTTAAGGGATCGTAGTGTGGTGTTTTATTTTTGTTATATTTTGGAATGCCACCTGCTCCAAAAATTGGGCAGTATTTATATAATCAGGTTGAAGATTGAAGTTAAAGTACCTAAAATGCCGCAGAATCGTGGCTAAAAGGGGAACCGAAGTGAATTGATGAGCCGCTTAATTATAATCACAATTATGCACTAACTGTGACCATGACGTACCAACTCCCATGTGTTCACATCAAAGGCTGCCGAAGGTCAACACCGTGAAGGTCGACAGACAGTAAGGCGTCAAAGGAGAGGGGTCAGGGGTCGGCCTAATTTTTAGGTCACAATTTTATTAGAAAGTTGAGATTAAGTGACACACTGTCACAGGTATTATAATTTTTTGAGGCGCTTTATTCACAGCAATTACATAATAAGTACTTNGGAGAACGAAACGCACCCACGGGGGGTGGAAGAAAGAAAAATCCCTGTTAAGGGATCGTAGTGTGGTGTTTTATTTTTGTTATATTTTGGAATGCCACCTGCTCCAAAAATTGGGCAGTATTTATATAATCAGGTTGAAGATTGAAGTTAAAGTACCTAAAATGCCGCAGAATCGTGGCTAAAAGGGGAACCGAAGTGAATTGATGAACCGCTTAAATATAATCACAATTATGCACTAACTGTGACCATAACGTACCAACTCCCATGTGTTCACATCAAAGGCTGCCAAAGGTCAACACCGTGAAGGTCGACAGACAGTAAGGCGTCAAAGGAGAGATGTCAGGGGTCGGCCTAATTTTTAGGTCACAATTTTATTAGAAAGTTGAGATTTAGTGACACAATGTCACAGGTAGTATAATTTTTTGAGGCGCTTTATTCGCAGCAATTACATAATAAGTACTTATTTTTTTTTAGTAGTTATTTGTCGATTTTTAGGCAGTTCCACAGATTTGTTTCCAATTTTTATACTTGTAACACGATATTGTATTTTTGCATTTTAGTAATCACTTTTTTCCACACTCATTTTGAGACAATTCTATTGTAAAACTATGTTGTTTTTGCAATGATAATAATTATTTTACGCTTCTTCAGCTCTCTTCATCGTATTTAGAAACACCTCGCCTTTAGTCCCCTGAAAAAAAGTTCTCTCTGTTAGAAATTTATTTAAAAATAACAATGACAAATGAGTACAATTAATAATTATGTTTTGACAGTATTTTTGTTGCAACAGTATTTTTGTTGTAACAATAGTATTTTTGTTGTATACTTTCTCTTTTATTTTAATATGATAATTTAAGCTATAGTAGCTAAAGTTAAGCGTGTAACATTTTTTATTTCTGTTCAGAATAATTAACGAGAATTTGTCATGTAATTTAAAAAAAGAAAAAAATTCAATGACTGTTAATTAAAAAGTAATCTAAAGTTTGTAAACGCCAATAAATGTTTCTAAACCAATTTTTTCTTTAACTTGTATATTTTTAAGGTTATAATGATTTTGCCTGGGTATTAACGCTACTTTGAATTAAGTCATTATCTATCACTTATTAAAAGAAAATTTAGCCACTTTTTTCACTGCGTTTTCTAAAATGACCCGCGCTTAACCCTGTAATTTCAGCCTTCGTGCAAGAAATTTTGTAATTAATGGTATAGGATATAGTTAATATAAAATTTATAATGTTTTATTTATCTTTATTAGGCTCCATGAATTTTTAAATGGTCTTGTTTGAGCCTATAATAAAATAAAAGTTAAATTCTAGTTTTTTTTTTAAAGAATTTCCTTTGGTTTTTGAAAACTGATACATTGGAAGACTATTTTTGAACAGAATAACTTCGGTTATATTTTAGCATTTCTTATATAATGAAAATACATTTTTAAATGAAGTATATCTTCTTTACTTGTTTCCTCCTGTTTATGCTAACTAGATGAACTAAAATAGCAGGAATATTTTAATGGGCGACATACTTTTTTGAAAGGTATATAATTAACAGTAAATTCAGACAAAGTAAATAAATATTAATCACAAAAGTTGTAATGGTAAATATATTGAAATGAAACTGTTGTAGTTTTTTATGGCTAATTTTTAATCTGATTTTAGGTTAAATTATCTTTACATAATTAATAAATTGATCATCTTTCAATGTGATTTGGTAGTGGACACCTGGTTTCATTGACTTGGAACCCAATAATAGAATACTATACCACTATAGTTATGGTAATCATTGGGTGATAAAAACTTGTCCAAGTTCTGAGTAACTTTTAAGGGTTTTGAAATTACATTATTCAGCAAAATACAAACATTTATTTATTTATTTTTAATATTACTGTTTTGAATAATTTATGATTGCATTTTTCATGTAGTTGAAACTCTGGCTTCTTATCTTCCTGAAATTTATGTGGAAAGGTTGCTGAGGTTCATAGTTGACCAAATAGATAATTCTCCTCATCTTGAATTTTATCTGACTTGGTTACAACATTTATTAACGATACATGGACAAAAAATTAAAAATAGATCACAATCTAACATGGGCAATTTAAGAGCTCTACAAAAGAATCTATCCCAAAGGCTGACAGCTTTAGACAAAATGTAAGTTGTGACTTGGTTTTATAAAAAGTGATCATATTTTATCAAAGTAGAGTTATTATTTTTGACCTATTTTACAATGAAATATTCAAACTACTAAATGTTATTTTCTGATTATTTGCACATTCCTTATGTATTAGTCTTTCTTTCTGATTTAATTTTCCACTTTAAAATTTTATTTGATAAGGTGCTTAAAAGTTCAGAAGTATTTCAAAACTATTGGTTTATAAATTATTTCATTGTATGGTTAAAAATTACCCTTTCTATAATAAAAATAAAATTGATCCGGACAGCCAATAGAGTATACAATGATGCCTGTGTAAATTGACCACTTGTAAGAAACAAGTTGATTATAATGACCACTTAGACAAGTGGGAATTTAATTGTTGCCAGTTTGGTACTTGGTCATTAAAATAAATTTAGACTTGTGGTTTATTTATCAAGTTTTTATCTAGTAGTGTTTTAAATGAAAATCATTGAAAATGGTTATAAAAATAAACTTAGGTGGATTTGAGACCAAACACCTTACTGCCTTCATATTAAAATCGATGAGCCAAGCTGAAAAACATACTTCATTTTCCATGTAAGTTACATAGTTGTGTGGGAACATGTGCTTTGATGTCTATATATATATANGGTAGACTCGCCCCGCGAATTCTGGCTTTTTGTTTACAACAGCAAAACTTACATTCTTTTTGGGTTTTTTTCATATAAAATTAATGTAATCTTAGTCTTAGATAAGTTTATCACTTAACCAAAGTGAAAATAGTAATAATTATATATATTACAGTGGAATCTCCGTTTAACATGCAGTTTCATACGCTATTCTGCTTTTTATGTTATTTTCTTCTCTCTTTTACCCATGATCTTACTTTATCTCGTATTTTGCTTCACCCTTTTTAAAAAAATCCTGCTTTATAAATTTTTCTAACAGATCAAGATCATTTCCTCTCTTCAAAGCAGGGTTGGGTTTTTGCCGACAAAAACTGGTTTTTGACATGACAGTGGTAAAAACAGTGTTTTTATCGGTAAAAACTGTAAAAAACCTTCTATTTTCTTTAATTTATGGCATATAGCGGCCAATATATTATTTTCACATAATTGCCTTTATAAATGAATGTTGTAAATGATTGTTATTGATTTTGCAGCTATATACATGTATTCTTATAGAAGGATATACATTCATACAGAAATATTGAAACTCTAAAAGGATTTCCTAGGCTTTTTCATGTGTCATTTCTGTGTAAAATATTGAAAGCAAAATTGATAAGAAAAGTTTATTTTATGAGACTTTCTTTTTATGTGTACATGTGTTTCTCATAGCAAGATTTTAAGAATGAAAGTAATCAATCTTGAGATTTTTCAGTAATGTAATAGGCCAAACAAAATGATACTTGGAAATGTTGAAATTTTTTTTTAGTATCGTAATATTTTACTTCAAATAGTATGTTTTGATATATTCATGTTGGGAAAATGCAAGAATCTGTTCTTAAATATTTTTTAACAACTTTTTTTCTAATTTAATTGCCCAAAAATGAATTAATTTTAAATTATAAGCAGTTAAATTCAAATAAATATACAGTTTTACCAAAACTATGGGTTTTTGACAGTTCTTGACGTTTTTGACAAAGGGGTTTTTGACATGACAGTAAAAACCATGGTAAAAACCGTCATGTGTCAAAAACTTGCCAACCCTGCTTCAAAGCTATCACGGACGTTTTAAAATTCTTTCTTCTTTCTTTCTTTTTTTAAAAGAAAAAGTAGAGAAACTTGTTTTTTAGCTGACATTCTTTCTATTCTATCTTATTGTCATTTGTTTGTGATATAGGAAAAAATATGCGAGCGAAATTTTTTCCAAACAATTTCAACCTTTGAATCTTGAACTAATCAAGTTATTTAAATAATGTTACGCTGAACAACTGGTTAGGTAATAATCTCTTTTTCTTGATTCCAGTAACCTGCAAACTGCTTCTAAAGCAAATATATATGTTCTGGAATCTGATTTTGATTTCTACAGCGCTGGAGAATGTTGCTTAAAATGCATTACAAATTTGTGATATAAGTTTCTCGGTATCCATTAGGAACATAGGAACAGAATATAAATTTTGAATTCAAAGCTAACTAAAGTTCTGCTGCTATGAAATAAAACTATATTTTATATTAAAATTGTTGTGACAGCGACTACCATCGTTATTTTTGATGTTCAATTTAACATCCCGTTTTGTTTTGCTGCGTCATAACTATAAAACTTGAAATTACGAAGATGTGTAGAGAAATGTACAAGGAGGATGATGCAATAACACAAAATTAATATTAGGTCATATTTTGAGAATTATCAACTGTTAAATTTGTTGTAAAAAACTGTTTATGTTGATCTGTTGCCTGTTAAAACTTGAATCTTTAGAAATGCTCGCAACTACAGAATTGAAAATTGACGTGCTGAAATGTTCATTTTCATTTTTGAAATTTTTTTTTAAAGTTATTTCAAGTAAATGCTTTTTCACAATTTTTTAAATTTATGCTTTACTTTACTTTTACGCATTGTTAAAGAAAAATTTATTTATTTCTCTTGAAATCTTCATTTTAAAGCTTACCTGTCTTGTCTTGTGTCAAAAGTAACAAGAAAAATAGATAAAATACTGATAACCTTTGTGTCTAAATTTTAAAAAATTTGAAAGCAGAAATTTTCAAAAACTTGAATTTTTAAAAATTTTATTAAAAATGATATTTTCTTAAAAAAATATGAATTTTTGAATGAATTTTGAGCATAAACTAAATTATATAACTACTAACTACAATCACAATCTAACAAGATAAAACTTGTATTTTGTTTCATTGATATCATTTAGTTCAAATTGCAACAAATTAAAAAAAGTCATTAAAGGCTTTACGATACTGTTTACATAAAAGTGATAATCATAGAATTTGTAAAATTATTTGCAAACTATATATGAATGTTTTAAAACTTTCATTTTTTAAATTAAAATATGTATCTGAGTTTTGAAAAACGAAATAACTCGAAAAAGAATTCTGAAATTTTGGAAAATATTATGGGGACACATACCCTTATAGTTATGGAAAAAATTCGTCCCAAAATGTAAATAAAATAAAGATTTCTAAAATAAAAAGGTTAAAATTAAATAATAAAANTAAAAAAATTTTTATTTGCAATTTAAAATAGTGAAAATTAAATAAAACTAAAATGGGTAGACTCGCCCCTGGATGGGTAGACTCGCCCCGGTTTACGGTACCCTTATAGTTGTGGAAAAAATTCGTCCCAAAATGTAAATAAAATAAAGATTTCTAAAATAAAAAGGTTAAAATTAAATAATAAAATTTTTTATTGAAAAAAATTAAGTGAACATATTATCTAAAAAAGATAAACATTGCAATGCATCATAGAATTTGCAACAATTAATTTCTTTAGTTTTCAAATATTGATAAAAATAAAGTATTATAAATAATGTGTTGTTACTTTTTTCTTCTTTTTGTTTGCAATTCATAAAGCATTTTTATTTACTTCCATTGCATAATTAATATTCATAAATTAACACCCACTAATCTGTATTATAAATGTTGTTATAAAAAGTCTTTTTTAATTTCAGATGCTCATTTAACAAATATATGATTCAATATACTTTGAATCTGGGAAATATAAAGAAACGTAAACTAGAATCTGAGCCAGATGAAACAGAAGAATCAATGATTATTGAAAGTAGTGAAATTCAGAAAGAAACTGATTCAGAAGAATCATCTGACGACAGTTCTTGATATCACTTTGTATACAACTTGTAAATAAATTATGTTTTTATTTAGTATTAATTTTACTGCGCTAATAGTTCATTTAAAAAATCTTATTTCTCAATGTCACATCATTTACGTTCAGTAGAAACATTAATTGATTAATTCAATTGCATACTGTAGTGTATCTACCACTACAAAAAGGTAATTCCAATTCACTAGTATATAAAACATGTTAACTCGATTCTATGGAGGGGTACTTTTTCATAGATGAAAGTAGACAGTAACGTAAAGATAGTAGATAGTAAATATATCGCCACATTGGTGACCTGGAGGTGATGTGAACACGCCTACCTTGGCAGAAGCGCCCACTATGATTTGAATGCGCCTACTTCCATGGATGGTCCACATTGAACAGTTGACTTGTGACTGCGGCCTTATCCACCTCCTTGTGCTGCTGCTACTCAGTTTCGATCACACATAACGTACAACGTATTCACTCGACTGCTAATGGTAACATAGGGGCGACCATGAACTTAATATAGTTCTCAAAAAGTATGGTGATCTTAACACAGCTCTCCCAGCTTCTCACAAACAGCAATGGATCAACTAGTGGTATCCGTTCATAGAATTCTGGTGGGGGATAACTAGTGTATCTACTACTACAAAAATGTAATTCCAATTTACTAGTACATACAGGGTATCCGCGCACCTGGAAAGTCATGAAAAATCTTGGAAAGTCATGAATTTCGGTATTGAACAAAATTTGTCATGAAATGTCATGATTTTTACTATTTTTTAAAAAAAAATCATGGAAAATCCTTGATTTAGGTCTCTGAAAAATCTAATTTTTAAAATGGAATCTCCTTCCCCCCAATTTCATCCTGTTCCAAATATCTGAATTTCTAACAAAATCACCACTCAGTCATATTTTATTAGAATATAAAATGATTTTATCATGTTCTTTTAAAAATTATGGTGTTCTTTCAAAAAATGAAAGAAAAAATATCATTTCTAGATCGAATTATCCTTTAAACTCTCTTCTGTGATTTAAGAATTTTTATTACTATTATTTTTTAAATTTTATAAATTTAAAATTCCAGTTGAAGCAAACCAGTTATTGGCGAATTTTTTTTATCCCAAAATGAGGAGAAAAATCAGGAGTATTTCTTTCCTTTCTGATGAACAAGAAAAGTATCTTTAGAATATAATTCTGCAGAGAAAAAAATTTTTTTTTTTTTGCTTTTGTATTTTTTTCAGCTATTTTATTGTTTTAACTCTTTTCTTACTCTGTTTTTTAAGTTTAAAATCTATAAGTATGAAGATGAAGAGTATAATAGTTTTGGTTATACCTATTTCCAATAATGTTATTATAATGCTTTTTTTAATTTATTGTTGCGTTCTTGTTGGAGAAAATAGCAACTTTGTTAAGTCATGAAAAATTTTTGGAATTAGTCATGGATAATCATGAAAAGTCATGAATTTGAATTTCTAAAATGTAGCAGGTACCCTGTATATGCATAGAAAGTTTCTGAATAATATAATTATAAGAAAATTACCCTACTAAGCTTATTCTCTATAAATACTTTTAATTGCATATTTTAATTTTTTTAAGTTAATTTCTTATGCATTAAATTTCAGCAAGATTTTTTTTTCTTTGCTTTAAGTATGTTATATATTTAGTATATTTTGAACCATCCTCTGAAAGAATATTTTACTTATGACTCTGAATTGGAATCTAATATTTCTCACTTTTTTTAGAAATTATATTATTGTAATTTTAAAACTATATTTTTTTAAGAAGCTTGATTCTTTGTTCAGGTGGAAAACTAAGAATGGCCAAAAGGAACTTTCTACCACTGGAAAACCTGTTCTACAATTTATTGCAATTCTGAGAAAAGACTGTGGACAGTGGGCTATTCCTGGGGTAATTCTAAAATTTGCTTAATGATGTGTCTTCACTGATTTTTAAGGCTTGAAATTCATTTTCAACTTATGTTATTTTCTCTTAAGCTTGCTTGTTTCTTTCAGCAATTTTTTTTTTAAAGTTTTGCTTTTGTTTATTACCACAAAAAAATTATGTGTTTTATAAATCTGAGCTTTTTAAAGTAATAAAGCTTTTATGCTAATGAACTTTGATCTATGATCTAAACTAGGATTCCCTAACCATAAGGTTGTGGCAAATTAACTTTGTGAATATACTTTTATTTTATTATCTGTGAGAATGTTTCATATTGAACTATTTTATGAATATAGCGTTTAAAATTCAAAACCCCATACAAGTTGTGAATGAATTTACACTATGATTGCTATTCCACTGTAATTGCACTGGTTGCTAATAATAAGTTGTTAAAAAAATAGAAATGCTGGGAAAAATAGAATTTAAAAAAGTTATATAGTAATTAGGCTGAAAATAATTTTGAAAAATAAATTTATTTGTTAAGCTAATTAATTCAAATTGTATGTGTTCATACTCATTGTTCAATTCATTATATTAGATGATCTACTTGTTAGATTATATAGAATGTATGTTGATATTAGATATTTTGAGNAATTTTTATTATTATTATTTTTTAAATTTTATAAATTTAAAATTCTAGTTGAAGCAAACCAGTTATTGGCGAATTTTTTTTTAATCCTGAAATGAACAGAAAAATCAGGTGTATTTCTTTCCTTTCTGATGAACAAGAAAAGTATCTTTAGAATATAATTCTAAATTATTGCTTTTGTATTTTTTTCAGCTATTTTATTGTTTTAACTCTTTTCTTACTCTGTTTTTTAAGTTTAAAATCTATAAATATGAAGATGAAGAGTATAATAGTTTTGGTTATACCTATTTCCAATAATGTTATTATAATGCTTTTTTTAATTTATTGTTGCGTTTTTGTTGGAGAAAATAGCAACTTTGTTAAGTCATGAAAAATTTTTGGAATTAGTCATGGAAAATCATGAAAAGTCATGAATTTGAATTTCTAAAATGTAGCAGATACCCTGTACATAAGACATGTTAACATGGTGGGATACCTTTTCACAGATGAAAGTTAACATTAAGGATAACTAAATCCCCACACATACAAAAATCATAATTAGTGTAACATGTTAAATGAAATACAGACGATATCTAACAAATGATCTGGCTTCATATTTCCTAAAAGTATTCAATTGAGTTCATAATTTCACAATGGAAATAAAAAATTTTATTTTGTAAAATATTAAACATACTAATTTTGACAATCTTATAAAATGCTTAACAAGTTAATGTGTCTTTTTAACAGCTGTTGTTAACTCATCTGTAAAGATAGGCTTAAAAATTGACATCCAAGAAAGAAAATAAGTTCTTCCTACTGACAAAACACAACTATAATCCCTTGTCTTGGCAGGTTCTAAAAGTACAATTTAGTGCAACTTAGGGTTTTGAAAGAAAGTAAATGAGAGAACAGTTAAATATTATCTAGATAAGAAAGATATTGTTTCCAATTTTTTTAAATTTTTATATTGAATTGTATGAGATTAACGCTAAGAGGATAAGAACAATATATTGGAAATTATAATGGTTTCAGCTCAAAAAGTGCAATGTTTGATTTGTGCTAATGTACTTACATTAAACTTCTATCTAGATCAATTAGGTATCATTTCCTATGCATTTTTCTTACCCTGGATAAAATAGTTTAAAACTGCTATCAGAGTAGAACATTAGCATTTTATAAACTATCTATAAGAAGGAAAATCCAATTGATTGTTTTTTCTACTGAGTTAAGCATGCCAAAAGGAAATAATGTAAATTCAAAATTAGCGTGTTGTAATAGCATTGAAATAAGAAGCACATAGACTCAGACGATATTTTTGTAAACGTATTGAATTTCTTTTGGGGGGGGGGAGGAAAATGTATTCTGCAGATTTCACTCAAATGTTTTATTTTGCCATGTAAAATTACTTATTTTAAAATGATGCAAAAAATTGTAATCCTTGCGATTCAAATTTTTTTCCGACTATTATTGCTTAAAATAATAGTTACTGAAATTTATTTTTTGCATAGAATTATCTTTGGATAAAGTAATTTTATAATTGTGTGCAAAAATGTTTAAATTCGCTTAAAAACTTTTTGAGATATGGCGAGATACACAAAAAATAAAGTTAATATTACGAGATCCAAATTTTGGATTGTTCTCCTAAGAAAGCTAGGGGGACAGTAATTTCTACATTGCAGTATTTTGGGGTTCGAAAATTTGAATTCGTCGAAAAAAGGGCATGTTTATTTAGAGAAAGTTCGTATTTGTGTCTGGTTTCATAACGAAAAATCTTGTCTACACTAATTAGTTAGCATAACCCCCTCTAACTATTAAGATGGAGTTCAAGAACTTGAAGATTCGATCATTAGAACAAAAGTTATTTCGGGTGGCCTGTTTTTTGGCCCACCCTGAGCTACCATGCAAATATAATGAGGAATGAAATAAGATCAAACATCTATCAGTTTTACTTTGTGTAACAGAGTCAATGAAACTGATAGTTCAAAGGTTATAATAGTTTTTACTTACAAAAGTGCTATTTTTGACTTGCATTTATTTGCACTTTTAATAAGGCTATTTTTAAGCTGTCTTAGATATCCTTGTTGATAGGATAAATAATTTTGAAGTCAAAGACCAATAAATCCTTTTTTAAGGTGTTCAGAATATTTCTAAAAATTTGATCATCTAACACTAGAAAGACGGAAAATTAGTATATACCTATATTGCCCAAAAGCAGTAAAAATGACTGGATTGTGAATGCGTAAATAAATTCGTTTAAAATCAATTTTTAACATTTTTTACATTATTTACAGTTATATTACTAGCTATTAGTAAATATTAACTATAAAAAAAAATTATATGTTGTACAAAAAGTCACAAAATTCTACGAAATTATGTCATTATATACATCATTGTTTTTCTAATTGAAATTAAAAGCAGTCAAAATGACTTCCTTAGGCAATGTAGCGTTAAATTTCCTGTTATTTTCTTTTTTTTAGATTGTTTTATTGTAAGTTATTATTAAATAAGTTATTAGTATTATAAGTAAGTTATGCAGTCTTGTTCATTAATTCT